TGGTCCTCCCGGAGATGCAGATGCGTCCATGGTCGATTTTTACGGGCACCTCTCCCACACTGCATCCACTTTTCCCCAGCTGAATGACATTCTTCCCGCCCGTGCGTAAAGCCCCCTCCTCGGATACAGGTCGGATTTGCGGCGCTTTATACCGCTCGTTGTTTTTACGCACAGCACGCCGGGGTGCCAAAGTCCTCAGCAGATCAGAGGATGACCTGTTTACAGTATCCAGCCATGAGGTGTGTGCCCTTACACCGCGGGTGTCCCTAGTATCCTCCACGCTGAATGTGCGCCATCTCCGGCTCTGCGCGTTCCTGTCAGCGGTGGTAGATTCATAATGAGGACTGAAAGTTGTCTTTGTTTTCTGCCACTGGTGCTGACTCGCCACGACCTCTCTGCACAGCCACAAACAGAGTAACTTCAAGACCTGAAGCCGCATCGTGTGGTTCTGTCTAACCCGTGACACGAAACAGTGAGATCCACGACGATCGATCCATCTCTCTGGTTCCCGATGATCAGCTGGCAAGACACAAACATGAACTTTATACTGCTACAAAATGTTGTCTCTCCTCCATTTTCCGCGCAAACAGCTTTCATAACAGCTTTCGGTTGTATAAAACACATGAACTTGTAGGGTTCCAGTGCGTTCTGGAGCGGCTCTGGTTTGGAGGCATCACCAAGACACCAAACACCAGAGCGGAAAAGGTGGAGACTGGGTGGAGAGCTGGATCCCAGCTGAAGTAGGTCCACCACCGTTCCGAAATGTTTGTGGGTACAACCGCTCCGGAAAGCTCGGAGATCAGGGTGGGGAGAGATGCAACCGGAAAAGACGCCGAGCTTCGCCTGAGAGAGGATCCCTGAGTGGGAGGAGTAAGGGGGCAGTCGTCTGTCAAGCCTCTGATCCGATAATTAACTGTATAGAGCCTATAACACACTGAACTGTCATCTGTGTGAGATCATCCACCAGACCAACAGTGATTTATTTTCAGTGACACTGATAAGCGCGACACTTGGTAAAACGTGCATTTTTGTAGCTCATTCAACAACTAATACACACAGCATATACAAACCTGGATGTTGAAATATTCAGTTTTCTTTTATTGTCATGTGTATTAGCTGTTGTATGACTCTACAGTTTGATATTAAAAGAAACACAGAAACATTGTTGCAAGAATTTTCTTATTGAATCTCACTGAATATCGTTTTTTTTAAACTGTAGAAACGTCCCAGCATGCATTTGCAGGAAACTGGAAGCCAAAGTGAAGAATTGTTGAGTGGAAGGAACTTTAGTGAATAAATATTTGCAGGTACTGTGCGCCACCTAGCGGAGAGTCCGGTATTACACGTGCGCCCCCTTGCTGCGCCAGTTTAGATCCTCAAGATCTATACAAGACATCGTCACAGGTTTGGGGCTTGTTTGTCACCTACAGGTTTTAAAAGGATTTTCTGCAAACCAGGTGGCATCAGTGAAACTGGAAGTGTTTCGGTCTCTTTTTGGCCCAGTGTGTGTTGACTGGTAGCTGTGGTCTCTGATGGCCTTCAGGATATTGACTCGTGATTTGAACTTTACCACAGCCTCGCTCTGGTGTGGGACACAGACGTTGCTCTTCTCCAGTGTCCAACAGCAGTTCATGGGAAAACAAGTAAAGCAGAGAAAGAGAAATATACAATATTTACCAGAAGTCATATGGGAGTTTTTTTTAATTCCTTGATCATTGTATAGAAAAATCAAAGACATACAAATAAGAGCATTAAGAATATGTGTGCAACCAGAAGTCATATGGGAGTTTTTTTTTTATTCCTTGATCATTGTATACAAAAATCAAAGACATACAAATAAGAACATTAAGAATATGTGTTCAAAAAGGGATACATTACTGATTTTTGTACTCAGTATTTGTGCCCCCCTTTGCTTGTATCGAAAAGAAATCCTGTCAGTAAAGGATCAGTTCGTGTTGATGAAGTGTGTCCTGCTGCGAGTTGACCAGCAGATGGCACCACTGCCGAGGCTCAGACCAGGGACACAGAAATGAAAAACAGTAAACTAAGTGATGGCTGATGGTTAACATTTAAGTGACACACCAACACTGTGACATATCAGAAGCTAAAACTGCTGCATTCTCCTCTTTCACAGCTGCTGCTCTGTTTTATCCTGAAAAATATCAGTTTTAACTGCAGCATATTAACCATGCAGAATTGACTGACCTCTGATGTCCAGTACTGTTCTGTAGGTTACGTTGGGGAAAATCAAATGACAGACATTTCACTTCACAATGCAGCACTGTGCACTAAAGGTTTGGTTTAAACATGAGATAAACAAGACTAACGACTCTGTGAGACAAACTAAATGCTAAAGTTGGCATCCTGACAGGCCGGTAATGACAAGATGCAAATGTTACACACAAGATGCAAGTGTTATATGTGGTAAAACATTAAACCCCAGGCGATCACAATTCACCTGACAGGGACCTAAATATTAGTTCAGACACGTTAGTCTGACATTAGCGCCACCGGAGCCACTAGCATGGCTAAAGATGGTCCTGGGAGCTGCTAGTTTGGACCTTACCAACAAGCAGAATGTTTTGTGTAAAAGGATCAGTTTGTTTGAGGTGGTGAAGGTTTGATAAAGGTTTCAGTCACAGACTCTTATCAAGCTGGCCGACAGCTGTAATGGCTCCCTGTTTCAGAAGGCATTCCCTGGCTGTAAAACAATCACTCATTAAAATGATTTAGTCTTTTATTTTGAAAGAGTCATTAAATGGTACAGGAAACAGAAGTTTTAAACATACACTAACATTTCAGGCATTTCACCTACATTTATTTTGTATTTCACAATAAATAGCAATAAAAGAAACCAAGACAAAAACAGGAACAGTTTTGAAAGAAACAGACCCGGGACCCGCAGATGGTTCAGGTGGGCTCGGGCTCAGATTGGGCACACGACAGTTTGGTGATGGTGGTGTGGCAGATCTGGTGACAGGTTTGGTTCTGGACCCCGTCGTCTTCGCCTCTGTAGGTTGTCAGACACAAGTCGAGCCAAGGGCGCCCACCTGAACACACAAGTAAAATACACCTCTGTCCTGAAACCCTCATGGTATGTACAAGTCAAGTGCCCGCTTGAGTGCAGGTGCACTGCCCCTCAGATGCCTTGCTGGTTTTATTTTATTCACACAGAAATAAGAGGTAGGTCAAATCAGATGCTATCACAAATACATTAATGACGACAGTGAATCTAACCGTTAACTGAGAACTTTTTCCTGTAAACAAACAAAATGTGTTTTCACGATTTCTTATTCCTCACATTTCCTTCTCACATCTTATGTGGACGTGGCTAAGGCACAGGGAAACATAGATGCAATTAAGGGAAGTGAGATGCAGCCTTAAAGAACATGGAGGCTTCATCTTCTTTGTCTCAGCAGGTTAAAGTTTCAGTCCGTCTCGTCACTGCTTTGTAACAGGTTTACTCTGAAACTGACAAACCTGTTGAATTTGATCTATATTCTAGTTGGGGTTAATAGTGCTGGGGCTGGTGAGTTTGACAGGCGTACCTGTACTGCCCCCTGGTGGACACAGGGTCTCCACTGTTTGACGGACGCTGTTCTGGGCCTCCTGATTGGCTGCTACATCCTCCGCTGACACGTTAAAAAATAACTCCTGGTGGAAGACACAAAAGTTAACAGATAACTGTTTCAGGTTCATTTGTCACAGAGAAAACTGTGTAATCACAACTAACGAGGACTTTCATTATTGATTAATCCGATCATCTTCCCAACTGATTGGTCTATTTACTGTCAGAAAATACAGGAAAGGGCCGTTTCAGTTTCCTGAAGCTCAAATCAGTTTCTTCAAAAATCCCCGTTTGCTGACTGAAAAACATAAAAATATACTTTTAAACAGGACAAAGAAACACACAAAAAACAAAGAAATGGAAAAGATTAAAATAAGGACTGTTTATTTTTCTATGAAGAATCAAAATAGATGCCCGTTAATTTTATGGTCGTTTATTTGACTGTTACTGCTCTGAATCACAACTGAAGCTATAAAGTTCCATAAAAACATTAGAAGTCTGGTGCTGGTACCTTTTTAAAATGAATAAAACTTTATTAATCCCTAGAGGAAAAAAAACGGTTTGGTTTCTCATGCACAGAGCAGACAAATTAAAGGCAAACTGCCATTATAGTAATAATCCTAATACACAGGCCTCTATGATTCTGGTAAAAGTCCAGTCAGACAGAAATAAGTAAAGTGAGTTTCCTCTTCCTTGTGATCTAATCTCATCTGATCCAGAGTGAGCGGGACTTTAAATGTGATCTGAAACTCACGGCATCCCTCCACAGGAACACGGCCAGCGTGTCGGTGGCATCCTGCAGCTCGAGTTTCATCAGCAGCACGAACTTCAGCAGCTGAACACCGAGAGCTGCAGAAGACCAGAGACGATAAGAAGGTGTCTTATTTCACAGGAGCTGAATCAGGAGGAAGGAAAATGAAACAAAACATTATGTTGAAGAGCAAACTTTTCAGGGGTTTTAAACAAACCCAACATGTCAACACAGAGGAAGTTGAAGTTGAGAGCAGGGCCTAGTGTTAAATCACGGCTGAGACCTCACTGACTGCAGCCAAAGTCCAAAAACAAAGAAGCCAGTTAACGTGAAAAAGAGAAACATTTGACTAACTATAATGAAAGAACTGCAACAAATCTCAGTCCATCCTCCATCAGGGAGCTTCCATTCCTTTTTTGTTTTCATATTTCGATGTCCAACATTAGTTCTGATGCCAGACTGGATCCTCCTGAACATGGAGTATCCCAGTCTTATACAAACCTGTGCAGAGATGCTCGTCGCTGATGTTTCTTTCCAGCTGCTCTTTGCTGGAGGCGTTTGCTGCTCTAACTTCTTTAAAATACTCCAAAGGTGTTCTACTGAATTCACATCAGGAGTGGTCAGGTCACAGATTTTCAAAATGTGTGTGATTTTTACACTGCCATGTTGGAAACGCTTCCTGAGACTGGCTGTTGTCTTCTCATTCAGCATTTGGGCACACTCACATTCACAGTGCCATCTGTAATCATAGTCTTCCTACACCTTCTGCACTCCTGCTACATCAATTCACCGCCTTGGCCACTTAGCGGCAGGAGAACAAGATTAAAACACAACGCTGGTATTTTAGTGCTACTTGTTTCCTCTGACAGTCCAGAGATACAAGGAAAACTCTCACTCACCTTCTGCAATGATCTTCTCATCGATCACCTGGACTCCTTCAGCAGTCGGCTCCCTCAGCACAGCCTCAGAGCACCGCTTGCACCTGAAGCACGCACAAGAAATCACAAAGAGTGGTGGTAGCTTGTTGACAATTTTAAACAATGCACCTCCAAAGTGTCCCTCAGTCAGAAGCAAATGGAGGCTAATATTGTTGTATGTGACCAATCATCAGCAAGGAGCTGCATGCAGACAGTGTGATCACAGAGCACGAGAGTGCACTGGAGGCCCGGTTACATCACTGTCAAGGTTCACAAATGTTCTGCTGAAGCCGACTGTGCTGTATCAGTGCATGTGAGGCTCATCTCTGACCCATAGTATCTCTTCCTGCCCCTGAACAGGAACGGCACTGACAGGTCGAGTGGAGCCAGGCGACCTTCTGACGACCTCACAGGGACGATGTTCTGGTAGCTGGCCGCTAGTCGACACGTTTCCTCCAAAGTGGAACCTGCAGGACACCAGAACCTCTGTCACCTTTATCCTTTCAGATGATGAAACACTTTTGTGTAACTTGCATGATCAAATCCCCTAAAATCTGTTCAAAGCTTCAGTGTTTTTATTTGCTTAAAAAATGCCACGTTAAGGCACGTAAACAGTGTCTGATCAGACTGTTACCCCTGAGGAAGATGAGCTCCTTGGTTTTGCCCTCAGACATCAGCTGGGCAGACAGGTGAATGTGCAGAGTTCGGTTTGAGGATCCCAGGGAGACTCCGGGGACATCGACCTGCCCAGAGAGCGCCCACGGCGGGGGAGTGCAGGCCCCAGAGTCTCGGGACGCCTCAGAGAACAGACCTGCCACCAGCTCATCATCAGGGATGTCCTGCCTAAGGTCACAGTGCAGAATCAGGAAGTCACTGATGAGACATTTACCTCTAGTGGCAAATGTGAGCAGCAGGAGGAAGAACTGAATCTTAGAGTACAGAAGTATAGTTCAAATGAATACCACTTTAATAAATTCATGTTTCATTTTGGCTGTAGAATGAATTTCAAAGTCATATTTATCATCATTTACATCTCTGACAAATCTAAAAGGAACTCAGTGAGAGTCAACGTGCACCAACTTGATTCCTTTGTCTAAAACTTCAGCCACAGGGGAATCTGTTTGTTTACACTGGATCTGAAATGTGCTGCATCCCCACTAAGGAATATAGGTTTAATTAGTCGTGTGTGTGTGTGTGTGTGTGTGTGTGTGTGCGCGCGCCTACAGAGATGTGCACTTGCTGCAGTACAGTTTCAGAGCCTGGTGGAGCATGTGGGGTTCATAGGAGCTCAGCTGGACTCTGACATGGTGAACTCGACCTGGATCGGACTGCTTCACTTTGGACAGTGTCACAGGTTGTATGTCGTGACTGCAGCATCTCTCTGAACACATAAGACAGTCAGACACGGGCAGAATGACTTTCAGCAGTCAAAGCACCACTACTAACATGAACACACAGCAGACTACAGAATCTGCACAGCATCATTAAATAAACATAACCTCAGCCATTTTGCAGACGCCCCACAATCAGAACGTTAAATTACAAAACTGAAATCTCTCATGATCTTTACATCCTTCACAGAGTCTTGCATGCTACTGACTGGGTTTGTAAAATGTTTTCCACAAACAACGTCAGCGAGAAGAAGCAAATATTCACAAATCCATCAGTTTGGAAATATTTTCATTATGTTCTGCACTGAGGTAAAACTACACATGATTTACAGGAAATGGCTTAAAATCTTCCAAAGACACAGTCGGAGGAAAACACCAGGGAATGTTATGTTCACTGACTCAACTTTGTATTCTAGTGAAGTTTATCCATACTATATTGTGGTATTTCCTGAGGTGCTAATAACTCATCTGACCTTCAGAGAACACCTTCAACTCCACAGAAGTTTAAGATCATAAACTAACTGGCTCCTCTGCCTGTTCAGACATTTATCAACATGACTACTCTGAACACACGTATACAGAAGTGTTGGTCTGTGCCCAGTATGTGTCATTTACACTCGACCAGTCTGCAAAGGTTTTTCACTTTCCTTACTGTTGTACTTTTTAATGTCGGCACATTCTTCTCTGAGGAACAGTCAACTCATATATATTTATATTTCATGAAGAAACAACTGATCTCATCCACAGTGCTGAGTAACTTTCTTTTTCCCGTTTTTTTTATTTTTTTTATCTGCTTCTGTTTTTGTTTCCCGTCTCGTGTCTGATCTTTATTAGACTTGACTGAACTGTTTTCTACTGAGGACCTTGAGCTTCCTCCCCTGCACAGATCCAGACGTTTTAATTGTCTGAGCAAACAAAGACTAAATTCTCTGAATGTTTCTGACTTGTCTGCCTTTGACCTGCTTTACAACATTTCTCTTTGAATTCTGGAAATCCAGAGCTGCTGAGAAACAACAGAAAGCAACTGCCACCAGTTTGTTCATCTCCACAGTCTGTGGAGGAGTGTGCAGGTCTGAGAGTTGGGGAGGACTGAGAGAGAAAGGCAGTGACAGCTGATCTGACAAAAACAACTGATCTTCAAATGCTTCATATACACTTTCATTTGTTGCAGACCTGCTGGGCAGCTGTGGTGTGTTGTGTGTCATACCTGTACCGCACTGCACCGTTTCACCACCTGAAACACAGACAGAGGAACCATCAAGGCCTGAACCAGTGTTCAGAAACAGACTAATCGATCTGCGATAAGTAGCACAAGCCACCGAACACACAGTGAACACACCTGAGAGAAACATTTCGTTAGAAGGTCTAAAACAAGCTGCTGAGTTCAGCTCATCTCCTCCAGTGTCTGTGTATAATGCTCATAGTCACAGTGACCAGTTTCTTAATACTAAACAGCAATTTGTGTAAAAGAAAAAAAGGCTGAAAATAAAAGTGGAGGAGTTGTGATTCAAGTACAACAGGTCTGTTTCCTTCTTAAATCACTGCTTTTAAATTGAAACATTCACAGCAGATGAAAAGCAAATACTTGTTCAAGCATTATGCAAACAAGGACTTTTCACAGGGAAAGTAAATTAAGTAAATTAGGGGCGAATTTGTGAGAAAGAGCTGCTTTCATTTCTTTGGGATATATGTCATGTATAATTACAACTGGTAGATCATGGGTTCAATCTAGTTTTCATAATCTTTCCTCACCTGCTAACCTGTTATTTAAAAAAAACCTGCTTCTCTATGTTTAAACTGCCTGAATTAAGCTTTTATACTGAAACATTCATGCGCTTCTTGCAAAGAAACAACGCCCTGGTTATTTTGTCCACACAGTTACACAACAGACAGCAGTCCTGCACATTTGAGCAGAGTTTTTTCATGTTCTTGAGCTGAAGCTGTTTGTCAGTGCAGAAACATTCAGGTCACAGTTGCACTTTGGATGTTTTATTTTGCCTCCAGTGAAGCGTGGGCTTTTACAAGGCCCTGCTAATGGAAGCAGCTCCCTGCAGCTCAATCCCACCCATACTTCACTCCATCCATCACTGAAGAGAACGGTCTGTCTAAACAGTCAGGAAATTCCTATTTCTGCCTCTGGCAAAACAAAACATTTCTTATTGGATCAAAGACTGGCAAGCGGCTGCCACCCTCCTTCTTTCTTATTTGCACAATAAAAATTAAATTTCCCTTCTCAGTCGGCTGTGAGCAGACACTACAAAGCAGACTTAAGAAATGTACTGTCATAGCAGCAGCCCCGTGATACTGCACTGCACTACTGAGCACTGCTTATGACCAAATGCAAATGTCACCGTGATGAGTCTGTGACAGTGACAATGCTACTGACCAGTAACCTGCCGAACTGTTAACATGAAGGCCATGCCAGACTGAAGAATGAGGAGAAAACATGTGGGCACACGAACATTAGTAGCAAATCTGATCCATCTAATAGTTCAGATATTTCAGTCTGGACCAACTGGTTAGCAGCAACATGCGTCGAGTCGCCACAAAACTCACTGAAAGAAGCTTAATCAGCTGATCAGTTGGAGCAGGAGCAGCATCTTCCTGCAGCTGCTGACTGGTCAGGATGCATAAAGTTTGACCTCAGTTTCCTACCTGGAGACTCTGGTGGAGTGCTCCAGACATCCAGCAAGTCTGAGTCACTCAGTTCGTCGTCGTCATCCTCTGTGAAGCCCTCAAAGACTCTACAGATACATAAACAACAGACAACAAGAAACAGACTTGTACATAAACACACAAATCCTGGGAATTAAGCTCAAGTTGTTCCAGTGAACTTAATCAAGTCTACATTTAAAAAATGGACTGAACCATTGATTATCTGATATACACCACATTGTTCAGTGCACTCTTTAAACCCAATGCTCAAAACTTTTAACCTTTCAAATTAAAAGCTATAATCTTCAAAAATGGGTGGATGGAACAAAATGAATTACAGACATGAGGTTTGAATTTTGGAACAAACTATGACTGATCTTTGCTAAATGAATCCATTATGTATCCTGTCAAAATCCAATTCACACATCTCTCTACACTAACACTGCCTTGGTCTTTTCTGCTCTTATTATGCTGCACTACCAGACCCAGAGGTCAGTGTGCAGCGAGAGGTAGGTTTCCTGTAATGACTTTATTTTTAGCCTGAGTATTGTGTGTCCCTCGTCTGTGTGCCACACCTCTCTAGCTCCTGCACATCGGGGCTGTTCTCTGGAAGAATCCGGATCCCTCTGCCATATGCTGTCCCTCCATGCAGGTGAAAAGCCAGATGATCCACTTCCACTGACTGGCTGCTGGTGAGACCGGGCACCTTACTGGATCCTGGGATCGCTCGCAGGTTGTAGATCCTCAGGAAGTCACTGGGCTGAGGGGGCGAACGAGAACGTGAACACATCAAAATCATTCATTAAAAATAAGAAATGCTGGTTGATGTACTGGAAACGTTTTATTAGTAGACAAAAAGCAAGAGAAAGAAGTTATGGAGACTATAAAGGAAATAAATTCAGTTCAAAATAGAAGGTCAAAGATAGTTTCGCATGTATTATGAATTCAATGTTTTTGAAAAGACTTGTCAAACCCAGAACCTTCTTGCTATGAGGCAACAGCATTAACCACAAAACAATAATAATTTTTGCCACTCGGGCGGAGCAGAAGAAGCTGTAACTAACCCTGACAATAATCATCTCATAAAGTAGTTGTGGCTAACGTGTTAGCAACAGCTGCCTACTTCTACAGCCAAGAGATCCACATGGTCACCCTACCGAAGTCATGTTGGTGTCCATTGTTCTGTGCCTCCACCTCCTCCTGCCAGAATATATGGATCTTAAGCTGTTATCTGCTCCACTGTGTTTACCAGCTAGTCTCCAACAGTGTGTCTGCTGTTTGCTGCTGAGCAGGTGGTGGACATCACACCATTTTATTATTATAAAACTAACGATAAAAGTGGCTTTTAGGAATTTCTAATGTGCCTACATGCATGTAAACACAGTTCAAATAAATCAGACTCAACAATAACAAACATGCTTCACAATGATTCATCCCAAAGTTCCATCACACTCTTCACCCCCTGCAGGTGTTTCTAGTTTTCTGGTCAGTCAGTGTAGACTACATCAGGTGTTATCCATCAGCAGATGGCAGTGTTGCACCAAACCTGCAGTCAGTGTGGCACTGATGCACAGGCTGTTCAAAGGACTTGCTTTGGAGGGTTTTTTTATTTATTTTTAAATCTCCCAACTCTTCATCACGAGCCTGCAGCCGACAGAAATCTGTCCTCACTTTCATCATCAACACACTGATCGAATGTCACAGGGCCTCACTCCCATTAGATATTTCACTGAAGCCTCCATACTGATTTCACATGATCGATTATAGTCAATTTGAGGGCCAGATATACACATATATGACCTTTAACTGTTATAGCTGGAGAGCACAAGAATGATTTAGAGTGAATCTTCTAGTAGCTGTGGCTTCTTTTAAATCCATTTTCACCATTTACTGAGAGTCACTGTCGTCAGCGAACACATGAACTGGGAGGACTGGAGAGCCACCACAACACACAAAAGCATTTCTGTTATCTGACATTATCCTTTAAAGAGCCCACAGCACGCCTTTCCTTGTTTTTTTTTGACTCATCTACAATGTTACGACAATGAATTATCATCTTAGATGTGACCTAAAGCTCAAAGAATGACGGGGTCTGAATGACAAATGAATGGGCTCTGAAGGAGGTGCAAACAGCCACATATGTTCTTGTACAAGCATTTTAGATTGTCAAGCACACCAGTTAATTTTAGAATTTAAATTTAGAAGTCTTTCAGCTATAAACAGATTTTAAAAAGGGGCTCTGAAGGAGGTGCAAACAGCCACATTTTCTCTATTTACTCTGCATAGATGTTCACATAAATGGAGAAAAAAAAATCCAAAATAACAGGGTAAATAAAAGACCATGAAATCTTCTGGTACATTTAGGCTCAGCTTTCAGGCAACCGCTCCAACATCTACTACCAGAAATGAATCACCAGTCATCAGCTCTGTAATCCCATCAAAAGATCTGAACACAGTAGGGTCAGCTGATTAGCAACCTATTTATCTCCATTTGATTAAAACAGGTTTCCAAAAAGTAAGATTTAATACAACAAAGACCAGAAGAAGTGCTCTCCTCCGTTTATTTGGGTGTATATTTTCATTTCAATCCTCCTCATCCTCAGCAGCACTTTCTAAGTACACAGGAAAACATGCAATTTGAATATGAATCATTATGAAGATCATAAAAGTCCCACTGAGACCAAACAAACAGAATCCCAGACTGTGCCTGGGTTTCATTTCATCTCCAGAGACCTGGATGTTTAGCAGAAATAGACAGAAGAAAACAACCATAAGTACTCAGGAGTCTGGTTGTGTTTTCTCAATGCTACATGAGAGTTTAACAGGGAACAGGTGCAGAAAGAAGAGGGAGTGTGACTAATGTTAGGAGACTGTGAGAAAACACCAGAGGACAGACAGGGGGGCAGTCGGCTCTGATCTGGCCCGGGTGAACCCTCTGTAGCAGGCCTCGGAGGCCAGGTGTGACTGTAACAAGCAGACATTCAGCTGAGAGAAGCAGAACTGAGTTTATATGCAGAACATGACTCATGTGATCACAGGACCAAGGTCACAGTATGTCCAAAAGCACAGCAGCTTACTGAGGACGAATTTGTAGATGAAGGTTGGAGCTACAGTTCTTAACCTCAGGTGGTAACAAAACTTGAATGTTTTCATTTTCATTCATCTATTTTCATCTGCTTTTTGTACTCCGATTCATTTAACTGTTCTCCAAGCTGGACTTAAACACCTCTGGGTTTTTTGCTAAGTGGACAGAAGAGACAAAATGGACTCCCATGTGCGGCCTGCATCAATACGAGACCTTTTCGGACACAGTGCTTCCCTTCTCCTTTCAGTTGGTGAAGTTGTAGCAGTATATTCTACTTTGCTCACAGATGGTAACAGACTCTCTGACATCTACAGCGAGATGATGCTGGCATCTAAGAGTCCACATAAAGAGCCAGGTCCATAAAAACTGTTTGCCCAGTTTAGTGTGCACAGAGCCCAGATCTCAACAGCAACCAACACCCTTGGGAAGTAGAACACAGATTATGGTCCAGACCTCATCACCAACATCAGAGACCTCACAATGCTCCTGTGTCTAAATACAAACTAATTCCTGCAGCCAGGTTTTAAAATCTGGTGACTGTTGTGGGTCACATGATCTATTAATCAACCCTAGACCTAAACATAGTTATAACTCATTTGAAATTCTCACCCTGAGTCTCTCACACCCAAACTGGAAAACTCAAAAGCCTGTTCTGTTTGTTACTGTATACCGTCCACCTGCTCCTTATTCAGAGTTTTTAAGTGAATTGTCAGACTTTCTGTCTGATTTAGTGCTTAGTACAGATAAAATAATCATAGTAGGCGACTTTAATATTCATGTAGATGCCGACAATGACAGCCTCAACAATGCATTCTGTTCATTATTAGACTCAGTTGGCTTCTCTCAAACTGTAAATAAACCCACTCACTGTTTTAATCACACTCTTGATCTTGTTCCGACATATGGCATCGAAACTGAACACTTAATAGTTTTTCCTCAAAACCCTCTTCTGTCTGACCATTTTCTAATAACTTTTGAATTAGTAGCAATGGATTATACTCTATGTGGGAAACAATTCCACTACAG